TGATATTGAACTTTTACCCAATATTTAATGTAAACTGTAGAACCTTGCTGGAAAAACTAACTGCACTTTGGAACATAAAGCATTTTGAATGTCCTTAAATGGAGGCTTGTTAATGTGCCATTATTTCTCTCAGGTCTGGTAAAGAGGGCCATTATACCGATAACTACAGCAACCACAGCTGGACCAATCACAGTGAGTGGAGGTGAAGCACCAAGTCACAATAGTCAGTTATAGGGAATCGGTAATCCATACTATCCTTTGAGGAGCTGCTGTATGTTCCAGAATGATCCTAAAGACTCATTCCTGACCAGGTGTCATCAAACCAACCACAAAGAGCAGAATGCTAAAACAGTCAATAATGCATTGATCCAACAGGGCGTCCAGACTGTAGGATTAAATATAGAATGATAGCGTGCATATTCCTACGAGAAACCAGTGTGTGTGTGTGTATGTGTGTGCAAGTGAGTGTGTGCGTGTGTGTGATAACATATAAGTATGTTACTTTGTAACAGTACAACAATTGAAAACTGTAACTGAAAAGACAATAAAAATGCACTAATGTACTGCATAATTTTTGTATATACCCTTGTGACAAAGAAGTGTGCATAATTGTATTAAATGTGCATTTGTTGTGGACTTTGAATCTTAAAAGTTTATTAAATATATAAAAAGCACATTAAAAAGTACATAAAATGCAATTGTTCAACTAATTGCATTTAATATACATTTAAACCATAACACATTCTTATTTAATTGTAAATAACATTCAGTTAAGTGTCTGAAAATATTGAATTTTGTTTGCACTTATAAGGTTTATGCTTTTAAATTTGATTATTTCCATAAGTGCTCTTTAGAAAGGTATGCTAAAGTGTACTATTTCACAAAGGTGGCACACTGTGTGGAAACAAGTTACTTTTTAAGTTGAGTACAAGGGATTTGTTCAAATTGGTAATAGCAACTTTTTTCTGCCATTAATAAAAGCTGCACTCTTCATCTATGTGTGGTTGTACATTTTATTGGTTTTGCTTTTTATCTTTGGGCTATTCAATCTTGAAGTATGTGAATGTTTAATGCTGTGCAGGGACAATGAATTAAGCACAAATAAAAATAACAGTTAACAATATAAAAGGTTTAATTGATTGCCTCCTGGAAAACGACCGGCCTATTGAGATGAATCATTAGTCATGGTTGTGAAGAAGTATGTGGTTGAAAGTGTGTGTGTGTGTACGCGTTTTTGTGACAAATGAGGACATAAATTTGTATAATGACAAAGGTATGACATAGGTATTACAAGGAGAAGGTGACTTTTCAGGACATTACCCCATGTCCCCACTTTTCAAAACGCTTATGAATCACACAGAATGGAGTGTATTGAAAATCTGAAATAGCACAAAGTCTCCTGTAAGGGGTAGGTTTAGGGGTAGAGTTGGTAAAGGGCCATAGAATATACGGTCTGTACAGTATAAAAACCATTACGCCTATGGGATGTCCCCACTTTTCACAAAAGTAAACCTGTGTGTGTGTGTGTGTGTGTGTGTGTGTGTGTGCTATACCAGCATCTTAACAACACAGATCGGTGGAATCTCATCATTTTAAAAAGACTTCAAAACTACCACACTTGCCACTGCATAGCTCACACATTCAAAAACACACACACACGCACTCACACACACACACACACACGTTTTGACTATTCTCAACCCTACTCCTGAAAAATAAATAAATAAATAAAAAATAATACAGTTTTTTTATTTAGGAAAAATTATTGTTGTTGTTATTATTATTATTATTTACCTATTGTTTACCTTTTGAACCATCGTCAGCATATGTGTGAATCACGGAAAGATTAGCTTATCTGTGAAGCAATTGTGCGTTTATTTTCTCACCTGTCCAGTTTGTTTGTTTTTCCTGTTTATCTCCATGATGACGTTATGTTGGTTGTTCTCATTGGAATCTGTCAACAGTGTTGTGATTATTTAAGGATCTTCAAAGGAAAGATAATTGTGGAGTAATCTGGCCCCAAAAGTGTTTTATCTTTCCAGATAAAAATTCCACAATGTTAAAAATTCCATGGCACAAGGCCAGCACTAATTCTAAATTACTAAAAGGTTCTTTATTTAATTTAACAACAAATCAGAGAAGGGTCGTGACTTAAGTACGTGTTTTTGAATTGCATTGCTCTATTCTATTTCATTCAAGCCAACCCTCCCCCCACTTTACAATTTCTTCCCTGAAAAACAAAAATTCCCTGAAGCACTTTTGGCTTTTTTTCCTCTTTGCTCTACACACAATATCCCAGTAGTTGTACTTGACCTTGATTGTCATTGGATGATGAGTTTTGACTGACAGCTGCCAGCATTGGTCAACAACCCCTGCCCAAACATACAGGCCTTAAATGATCATCTTTCCGGACAGTTTCACAATTTTCTCCGTCTGAGTGACACCCTGTGTGTTAGTGTGTGTGCCTTTGTGTAAATGTGTCCAGGGCCTGTCTGGTTGTTTGTGTCGCCACTACCTCTTCTGCCCAAGTCAGGGGGGCTAGGGGGCCATCGGCCTCATGTTGCCACTTGGGGGTCTTTGAATGAAGTCGATAGAACATTTCTGTCCTGTCTGCATGCAGACAGCCACTAGCAGACAGACAGTTCAGCTCTCTTTATCTCACATGGCCATAGTCTCACATAGTCGATCATTGCAAGCTTGTTGTAAATATTAAGTAACATTAATATTTCCGTTTCCCTTTTGGTGTTTCATAAATACTGAATGATGTTACCCTGGTGTGTCAATAACATTGATGTCATGTCAATAATAGGAGGGAATAGAGAATTGCAACTGGTGCTGCTTCTGATTTGAGTGATCAATGAAAATGATTTTTATTGCTGTATATATTACACGATGCACACAAGTGACTCTATTGATCCCTTTATCAGATGCTTATGTTGTAATGTTAGTTATTAGATATACCAGCCCATAGAACACAATTCATTATTTGTTATTACTACAGTGTTACTGCTTTATTACTACTTTATTACACTGTATTGTTATTGAATTACTATATTGTTATTATCACAAAATCTGTGTAATAACACAAATGGAATTAAAGGAAATTTAAGTAGGAATGTTGAGTGACCATCACACTTGAGGTAATAGTATCGAAGTACAGTATTGACATAACTTGTTGTCTACTTGACTTTTTTCTTGTTATGTTTGTTTAAAAAAAAAATCCGTTTTCTAAAGAAATTCATAGGTATGATTCATATTTCTCAACAGAACCAATTTCCAGCATTTAGGCAGAATGATTTAGACCTTAAACGGTTTTTAAGATCATGCGAAGAGTGTGTCCATTAGCTTTTAACAGTGTAAAATTAAACAAGGAACTCAAATGTAGGATTCTGCTTGAGAAAGAAGAAGGGGATAGAGAGGAGAGCAACTGAGAAAATCCGTTCTGAGATGACGGGACCAATCAGTCCGTAAATGAGATTTCCCACAAAACACTTCTCCCAGAATTCCACACATGAGAGAGGGAAAAAAATCTCAGACTAAGCTCATGAACTTTCACCTTTCACCCCTCCGCTGGCTGAACCAATGAACAGATTGTGAAAAATCAATGTGTCCAATCAATAGGAGAATTTTTTTTGTCTCTAACTGGGTAATCTGCTGTAAGACGGTCTGAACGCCGGCCGCACAAAAGAGCAACTGAAGAAAATATTTATTGCAAAGAGTGAAAATTAAATTTGCTTTATTGGTCCTCAGTGCAAATGTTAATCATCATTTACTGCATCCGGCTTCGGCATGACAGATCACGCTCGGGTGAGGAGACCATTTTGAAGAGGTTTCTGCTGTACTATTTCAGATACAATACAAAATGGAGTCTGTTTCATAGTGCAGAGGTTTGTTCTTAGGTCTGTGGACATATTCTGAGCATTAGTTAGTATTAGTTATTAATATTTTTGTGTTATTGATTTTACATCTTTATTTCTTTTGTTGGAGCATTTCTTTTTGTTTTTGTTTTTAAATAATTTTTATTGATATACTCATCTTACGACCCTACACAGGGCAAGTGAATGGACGATATGTTCATCGTGTTGTGTTTCTCGGTTCATTAGCATGTAGATTATTCATGAACTCGGCGAGTCCTCTGACAGACAGTGTGTTCATATCCCAGACAAAAACATTAAATCATTTTTTCAATTACCAGCAGAAATACAGTAAGGAAGCAGGTAAGGAACGGTCTGTAAGGGGCGTAAAGGTCACTCTTTAGCTCGTCTCGGGTAGTTAGTCATGTTCTTAAAGATAATCAAGACTAATGATTGTACTAGACACTGGACCCAGACTAAAGGCTTTCTGATGATGAAAAATGTCTCAGACAGTACATTCAAGACACCGGCAAATGTTTTTATCACATTTGGACTAAATCAGTGCAGATGGATGATTTTAATGTAAAATTGCAGTTACATTCATGTCATATGCACATGGGTCACAAGCATTTGTGATGTGCTGATAATTTGATAAAAAAATATGTTAATAATGTACACTGTCAAAATCATAGTGTAAGTAATATTTTATGGTACTTACTTATTTAAGATATAGTTCTCCCAAACATTAACATTCTGTCATCACTTACCTTCATGTTGTTACAAACACAAAAGCACAAACGTACAAATAAATGTATCTTTTTGTCTGTATTATGAAAGTAAATGAGGTTCAAAACAACATTGGACCCCATTATATGTATTTATTTATTTATTTATGTTCAAACTATTTTATTTGTGTGTCGCCGAGGGAAAAACTCAAATCGGTTTGAATTGACAATAGGGTGAGTAAATGTCTTTCATTTGGGGGGAACTGTTCCTTTAAATCCCTCATAACTTTAATATTTGCTACATTTCAAGAAAAATATTCTGATTTGTGTAATCAAAGAAAATGTTTTTTATTATTGTATACATTACATGATGTACGCAAGTGACTGGTCACTTTATCAGATGATTATGTTGTAATATCAGTTATTTGACATTTAATATTAGACATATATTTACTCTAATACACCATCCAAAAGAAATTAGGACTCACCAAACAATTACTTTATAATTATTACTACTTTATTACTATTTTATTACTAAATTATATTATTACTATATAATTTATTATTATTACATACAATCTGTGAAATGTCACAAATAGAATTATGGTATTTAAAAAAAATAAAAATTTGTTTTCCGCAGAGGAAAGAAAATCACACCAGTTTGGAACAACATGAGGGTGAGTAAATTATATTTAATTTTGGGAGGAACTGTCCCTTTAAGTTCCTCCTAATTGATGCTATAATATTTAAAGAATACCTCAAGAATGCATTTATTTAAAATAAACTAGAGATGTGTAGTCGTTTCTACAAACTGAGCAGACAGCCTCGGCACAGGCTGAAAGCCATTTGCTCTGTGCAGAGGAGAGTGAAACGAATGTGTGTTTAAATTCGATTGAAAAGTGCATCTCTCTTCTGCTCTGATGTCATGCATCTTAATTATGAGGATGCAGGGGTCGGCCCCGTGTGGACCGCCAGCCCTGTTATCGCTGATCTAATGAACACACTCCAGGGCCCTTCTCTCATCCGCACATTCACACGGACATCTCTCTGTTTTTACTCAAACTATAGGGTTTCCGTTTGCTGCAGATTTGACTCTGTAAGCGGCATTAATTTGGACTGAAATAAATTAGGTGAAAATGAAATCCTCAGTGAGACATCCTCATCCTCATGTCTTCTTTTTTACAACAACAGATGGACAAAGCAGCCATCACGTCGGAAATCACTATACAAGTGTATTCTATGTTAATCAAAGGTCTGTACATGGTTTATAAAAACCAACAGGTAAGAGACGTTCACATGCTGTACCACTTAAAGAAAGATGCTACTGACATCATCTAAAAAATCTATTTGTAATCAGTGATATGTTTGCATGTATGTTCAGGTCTTTACAATGGCTACCAGTCACGTTTAGAATTAAATGAAGAACTAATACTAGATTTTAAACTGCCTAAATACACTGCAGATATGCATGTAGAAAATAAACCGTAAAGACCTCTCAGATCATTAGGATTACGTTGCTTACTAATATCTGGAGTTCATTTAAAATCCATACTGAATTCATACGCAAATTCAACCACAACTGTTTAGCTGTGCATTCAGTGTGGTGCACTTTACTGACTGCATGGAATTATTTGTTTAAATGTGTATTCCCAATGTACTCCCAATTCTTATTTCCTTTCTTAAGGTGAATTGTATCGATGTTTTGTGTCTTTTTTGTGTATCGTGTCTTTTTAAATGATATGTAAACCCTCTGTATTACCTCACTGAAATGAGTTGTATGGTACAATTCGTGAAGAAAATATGGATTCAACTCTACAATATTGTTAAACTATTTTAAAAATGTGTAGAAGTTGCTTGAAACAGACAAAAAGCAAGAAGTAAAGCTTTCCCTCTTTCTAACTTAAAATTTTGCAAATAAATAAATAAATAAAATCACCTCAGAAAAATAGTAATAATACCTATGACTCAGTATCTGGTTTTGACATATTTCAAATTTTTAAGGTAACATAACATTAATTTTAAGTAATTTATGTACATTCAGATAATGTCAGTATATATCTTTTTTATTTGTATTTTTTTCAACCACAACTGTTTAGCTGTGCATTCAGTGTGGTGCACTTTACTGACTGCATGGAATTATTTGTTTAAATGTGTATTCCCAATGTACTCCCAATTCTTATTTCCTTTCTTAAGGTGAATTGTATCGATGTTTTGTGTCTTTTTTGTGTATCGTGTCTTTTTAAATGATATGTAAACCCTCTGTATTACCTCACTGAAATGAGTTGTATGGTACAATTCGTGAAGAAAATATGGATTCAACTCTACAATATTGTTAAACTATTTTAAAAATGTGTAGAAGTTGCTTGAAACAGACAAAAAGCAAGAAGTAAAGCTCTCCCTCTTTCTAACTTAAAATTTTGCAAATAAATAAATAAATAAAATCACCTCAGAAAAATAGTAATAATACCTATGACTCAGTATCTGGTTTTGACATATTTCACATTTTTAAGGTAACATAACATTAATTTTAAGTAATTTATGTACATTCAGATAATGTCAGTATATATCTTTTTTATTTGTATTTTATTTTTTTTATGTATTTCACAGTTCATTATGAACATATTCATACCACAGTTTTTACATTTTACTTCCAATTTCTAAACACACAATTTAAATTAAACATACATAACATTAACATACTGGTAAAAAATGTATAGCCTGAATGCACTGTAAGTTGCTTTGGATAAAAGCGTCTGCTAAATGCATAAATTAAAACAAAATGATGGCAATAACAAACATTTTTTTTAATTTTAATATGAAAATATTACAATTAAATGGTCATTGTAATATTTAAATGACCATTTGCAGGCATCAAATGTTGGTCTTTATTTATTTGTTTGTTTGTTTGTTTATTTATGTTCCTCTTTTCTTTGTAACAATGTGGAATGTCTATGTGCAAAGAAAGCAATTGTAACACATAATAAGATTGTACAAGTAAATTCCAGCCCCATCTGCACTGCAGGACTGTGCTGTAACAAAGGGAAGGCCTTGAGAAACATCAGACCCCTGTGCTAATTTATCTGCCTCCTCAGCAGAAGGAGTGAGACAGAGACAGAGGGCCCAGCGTCAGGCTGAGGAGCCCAGAGCGAAAGAATCGATGCGGCCGCAGGGGGAGGCGTTCAGAAGGCTGGACACAGCCTGAGCTGCCCCTCCGAGCCCCTGCCTCAATAGGTCAGCCGCAGCGCACAGCAGGGGTAGAACTCACCACTACCAGCCCTACAGCCACTGAGAGAGACAGACACGCAGAGAGAGACAGACAGACAGTCAAATCTGGAAAAAAAGAGACTTCAATGAGGGAAGGGAATTATTGAGAAAGACGAATAGAAATGAGGAAAAGAGACTGGGAGGGTGAAAACAGCTTGAAAGGAAATTGTGGAATTAGGAACGGATGGGGCAGAGGGAAAAGAGAGAGAGAAGGGGGAGATTTGGAGAGATTAAGTACAGATAGGAGCAGTGGCGTATGTTTCATTTGAATGAAACATTTCTTCCAAATTCTTGAAGAACGATGCAACCATGGAGCAGCAGCACATGCGTTGATGGAACATGCATCAAATATCATTTCATTTACGTTAGAGAACTCTGGTTATTTATATTCGCATATATGGAAACTGTGAAAGCAAACGTTCAGTTCATCTTTTAAACAATGTTTCCAGTCTGTTATGCTGTACTGGAACTGTCAAGAGTCTAGAAAGAAAAGAAAAGAAAAGTAAAGAAAAGAAAAGAAAAACGTTTGTTTTTGTGAAGTATCATATCAGGCTTGTATGACTCTTATAGTATGATCTGGAGCTCATAATCAGGGCAGAGAGAAAAAAACATAATTTTATCAGTTTTATTCAGAGGCCCAAACTGAGAAAATAAAAATAAAAATCAGTGCAGTCGCTGATAATTATATGGCCAGAAAGTAAGATGGAATAGCTTGATATGTAAATCAATGAGGTTTTTATAACAGTAAAACAGACTGGGATACAATGCAAATAAATATCAGTTGATATAAATCAACAGTTTTTCCAGCAAAGTTTTTGTTGAAAATTTAGAGAGGCCTTAGAAATGTGTGTATAAAAAGCAGGCTTTACAGGGGTTGCCAGCTTTTGTGAATTACAATGCATAATTATAATGCACAGAAAACTGGATTGCAGGTTGTTAGTTAAATAAAACATGCTGAATTAGCATTTGGACAAGTTTTTATCATATGGCAATTTCAAAATATTCAGTGCAATGTTTATTGACGTGCTATTGATTTTTGAATGACTTGCTTCATTTATGTCTATTAATGTCATAAACCCAACACTTGTTCAATATTAACCCCTTGATGTGCCATCATTACAAGTTCAACATCGCCTGCATGACATGACACTAAAAGGTCCTCTAGAAGGAACATTGTAACATTCATCATTTGCTGTTATCTCATATTCAGTTCTTTTCTACATTGATTAAAAAACAACAAAAAAACAAACAAATGATGGTAGGAGACAATCGGAAATGTGGGTCTATGATAGGTAGGAGTTTGGGAAAGACATATTCTCTCTTCCAGAGAAAAGATGGACTGACAAGAGAATGAAGAGAAATAAAGGCGGTCTTCAAAGCGGAATATCTTGGTCTATGCTCCCTTCATCATAAAGTGTACTCTCACTGTGTACTGAAGGTGAGGCTGACCTCTGACCTCTCGTCTGACTGCCATCCCTCCATCCGTACATCTGCAGCCCGCCTCCCTGTTCTCTCTGCAACCAACCAACATTTCCTATTGATTTATTGATTGCTGTCGGCCCATGGAAGCCAACCAGCGCAGACTCGATGTGCTCCGGCTGCTCGGCTGCATAGATTTTTCTCCTCTCATCTCAAGCTGAGGGAGCAGAACAGGCCTGGACTGGAATTAGACCAAGCGGGAGCCCAATTTGCCAGGAGAGATCACCACCTCTCGCGCCACTCCTCCCTCCTTATCTCTGCCTCTCTGTGTTTGTTGTGCACTCTCTGTCCCCATTTCTTTCTGTTTTCCTTCACTGAGTCTAAATGCTGAATAGAGTGTTTAAATATGGGGTTAAATTCATTTTAACTCATCTCAAAATCCTTCAGCAGAGTTCTCTGGTCTGCATAGTCCTGAATTATTCAGGTTCCCAGGCATTATGACACTGCTCTGTTGCAGGGTTAGCATCTAAAACCAAAACCATAATTATATATATATACTGTATCTCCCAAGGAAACATTTCTCATTTTCATTTAGTTTTATTTAGTCAATAATAATAATAATAATAATACACATTTAAACTAAAACATTTTAAAATGACAAAAACACATACGAAAAACCTTAAACATTAAAAAATTGAAATAACAGCAGTTCATGTAAAAATAAAAACTGGTTCAAGCTAATAATACAAACTATAATTGATACTAAAATAGCATTGCTCTCTTGATGTTCCTTTTATGATTTGTTTCCTTCTTTTACTTCACACAAATGTAATGTTCTTTAATTATTGAAGAATTTTAACAACATTTTATTAACAGTTCAACTAACGAATTGTTAATAATTAATTGATTTTAAATAATATTACAAATTTAGATGCCTAAATTGATTCATTCATCTGCTTAATGTCCAATCATTGTTTTATAATTTCAGGGTGTGTCTGTTTTTATTTTTTAACAATGTTATACATTTTGAGACATTTAAGTTTAAAGTATCAAAATGTACATTTCCTTGCACTGAATTTTCACCATATAAAATCAAAATGACTTATAATGTAATTGTAATATTTGCATACTTATCTCAACATTTCTCATCAATTTCTTTTCAAATCAGTTAATTTGAATTATTCTATGACATTAGTTTTACTTTGTCACTGATTAATTTACTGTATGTCTATTTAATTTCTCCAAGGAATTATAGGAGAAACATCTGAGAAAGTTTAAATAAAACATAAGCGAGAACTCTCCTGAGCTTCTAAGTTTCATGTCCATAGCAAAGTTTCTCCGTGAACTCCGTTACGCTGATGCTTGTTGATATATTCACACACTCACATCTCAAAGAAGGCATCTGCAGGTCCAGAAAATTGGATCAGGAGGATGGATCTGTGGCCACCTCTGGTCATGCTGACGGCAAGAGTGATGGATCAATAAAAAACACGACACACACAGGGTTCCAGCGAAACGATTCTCTCTCAGAGTGACGCCTCCAAACTCCCTCATACACTGTCTTTTACTGAAGAGCTTTACTCTGCTCCTCATATTCACCCAGAGAGAGCTACATGTAATTTACCACTGCTTCAACTCCACTGGCAGTCCTATCAGAGGAGCCAGCAGGACAAAGACAAAGGACTTCTGAAAGTCAACGTGAAATCAAAATTCACTTTACTTTCTTTACAAATGTTATTTTGTTTGCACAGTTCATCAGTGTTATTTCAAAATCTTTCATCAATGTGCAACTTATGCCTATGTTAAACCAAAGCTATGCAGACTGTGGAAAATAATGTCCTAGGGGAATGTTGTATTTCTCAGTTGATGGAGGTCTCAGTCATTTGTGTTAGCTGTTAGGGCTCCTAACTTAAAAAGACACAAATGAGATACACAGTATGAGTGACTCAACAGCTATAAAATAAATGTGGATATCACAGCTCAGATCATTTGGTCTTGGAAGAATGTGGCAAGAAATACAAAGTTCATTATGAAATCTACTTTGATTGAAGACTTTGGGATGATGGGTAATCTGCAGTTTGAGACATTGTTGGGATCTCTTCTGAAACTCTAGATGAGATACACAGAAGTTTTGCGAACGAACACAAAGTTTCTCAGGGGAACGCAAAAGTTTTGTAAGCTAACTCAAAAGTGTTTATTTAAAGGGGTCCTATTACGCTTTTTAACTTTTTTAATTTTAGTCAGTGTGTATGTTTGGGCATAAAAAAGATCTAGAAAGTTACAAATCTCAAAGTCCACTCCAAAGGGAGATATTTTGTTTTTTTAAAAATCGCTTTTCAAGAACGGCTCGTTTGGAATACAGCGTTTGTTTTCCGGGCTTTGTGATATCACAAAGCGGCTCATTAGAATATCATAAAAAATATTCCTGCCTACAGAAATTCGAATGGTTGGGGGGTGGGGAGGGGCGAGGTTGTGGTTAGAACTCTTGGTTGAGTGAGTGCATCAGACGAGACGACGAAGAAGAAGTGCTGCTACAGAGTTAGTGCATCAGAGAAAACAAAGAAGAAGAGCTGCTGTGCTGTAGCTTCAAATTTTCGGCATGTTTAGAACAATTCTTACAAGTACAACACGACGTAGCTGGGCGCTGCGGACAGATGCCGAACGGCGTATAATGTATTTGAATTTTAAAGATGTGGCGCGGCGCGATGCGACACTGCACTTCTCGTCCGGTGCGCTGCCACCTGAAATTCTGTTTTTTTCACCTCCGAGCCCAAACGTCTTTGTTTGGGCTTCCGAAAGCGGATGGTGTCAGGAAACAGTGGTTGCAATTTATTTTTTAACTCTGTCCCTGAGCATTGTAACCCCAATTTGCTATTGTGTGCTGTGCATTTTACTTAGGACAGCTTCCACAACATGAGGGAGTACAGTGCCTGCCGGATTCGCCAAAAAGCTTTTGTTGAAAGACGGAGCAAGGGGCATGGCAGTACTGAAACACCGTCTAAGCTGTTTGCCAATCACAATGCACTGGGACAGCTAACCAATCACAAAACATTTTGTTTTTCGGAAGGTGGACCTTCATCAAAGCCGGAACTAATCAAGCCGTTTGTGCCAGGCTGGGGAGAAAGGTATTTTAATAATGTAAATGATGTGAAAAATAATGCGTTTTTCGAACCACCAAGCATGAGAGCATGTTCTAGTACACCCCCAAAACAAAATCAAGACTTTGTAAAAGAGCATAATAGGACCCCTTTAAAAAATGTTTTCCTCCCATCTAATTTTTTTTTTGTCACCATGTCCCTAAAGAGATCTCATTTGTGATTTTGTTTTCTTTCCAGCAGCATTACCTAAAAATAACACATTTTACGGTTGAATCCCAAATGAAAACGTCCCTTATTTCACACTCAATATTGCTTCACTCGCAAATGTGTCACAATCAACTGTGTGGCAAATGCTGTTTTATGAAACTTCTTTTGTTTATATATCTTATATATAATATTTATATCTTATAAATATCTTTTGTTTGAGGTGATACATGTGAATCGTGGAAAGCATTTACCTTGAGTTATGCGGTAAACATCTTTTGCACACAGTGTTAATGTGAGTTTTAGAAAAGCCTGCAGTCTCAGCACTGCGGTGGCTCGGTTAAGGTGCTGCGGTCTACAGGGAGAGCACACCTTTCTCTCAAGTACACAGAGGTTTGTACGGATCGCTCAAGCGTGGGGTGGCACAGTTTTGCTCCAGTTCCCTTCAGATTTGCAGCTTTCTCACAGTAATGCATGTACGCAGACAGGAAGCCCAACCCTGTCCACAGAGACCAAGCGGCGTTCAGAGGTGTGAGGTGTTCGGCGAAAGCTAAGACTCCACAATTTATTTTGCGTCTCTTCTCCAAAAAAGTCCAGCATTTCCAGAGTCTTTGAGATGACATCATGCTGTAATGTGTTCGTTCAACTATAATTTATTTTTAATGTGATATCTTTCGCTCCCTGTAGACTTTTACCTTAATGGTTCCAGCATCGCAAATCTAATATTCTCTCCACAACACCAACTTCAAACAAAGTCTAATCGCAATCTTACCAAAAAGTATGTGTTTTATGTTCTTTTGAACTCAGTTACAGGAAAGGAAAAAGTAATGATTCCACAGGAAAATGTATATATTACCTTTGATTCTGTCTGTTTTCTTGCAATATGGGATGCTTTAGTGGGATAAAAATTGATTTTTAAGCTTTTTGTGCATTAGCTTTTACGTTTAGAAATTTTATTTGCAGGGGCCATTTCTGATCAATGAGCAAAACCCGAATTTATAACACTGATGCAATAAGAGCCAACCGCTATGATCGAAAGAGATGGAGAGAGAGAGACACAGAGAGAGACAGAGAGAGATGGGGGGAAAGAGATTGCAGCATCTGATACCAAGAAAAATAATGCCTTTTCTATGTTTTAAAATAGATGTTTTTTTAAATTTCCTCAAAATCTAATAGCAGATTTTTATGACATTTTCCAATACCATAAATTTAGGCTTTTTGAATAAGGTCTAAAATTGTTCAATGTTTCATTTTCAAAAATGTTGTTAAATACCAAATGACGTTAAATGTTGATGGAATTACAACAATAAATAAAAAAGTGTATAATGAAATATGCACAAAATAAAAAAATACAGAAAATTTCTTGCATGTATTACTCAAAATAATTAAATTCAATACTTATTTATCTCATGGATCCTGCTGACTGTTGTAAAATATTTTTTGGGTAAACATTATAATATGTATAAATATTTATAATCCTGAAATCTTATTCTGAACATGTACTTTGTGTCTGGAGTCAGAAGCTTTGATGTTAAATGTAGAACACGCTGACTCTCCTTCTGTATGAATTCATCGCCCTCGCTTCTGACTTCCCATGAGTCTTAGCGAGAGCAGAGATTTCTGTTCATGAACTCAGCTAAAATCCTTCTTATTCATCTTTTGTGGGGAAAGTTAAAAAAGAGGTCACTGTGAGAAAATATTTCCAAATATTTGGCAGAGTTGTAATGTTATATCCACATTATCTCATAGTTCTGTATTGTTACTGTATCACAACAGTTTACACATTCGCGTCTCTTCTCATTTTTCTGAATGAACAAAGAATCATCTGAGAAGTTGGTGCTTGAATGAAGCATAAGTGAGAATGAATTCTTCTGAGCTATGAAAGAGCAGTAACTTTTTTGCTCTAGCCATACTGAGCCATACAATGGATTGAATTTATTCATAGAGAAAACGTGAAATAAATATTGATTCTTCATATCTGTATCTAAAGATTCACTGTCCATTTTGGTGGCCGTTCCCAATCTTCAAGAGTTCAGAGATCTTACACAGAAGTGACCTGAGCAACCATCCTTTCTAAGAACATATACAGAGTTTTCCTGTTCTTTGCACAGAAACTTTTTCATCAGGAAGAACAGAGACATTCGGAAACATAAAAGGCCATTTCCCTCTCATCCCTCCATCCAAATCTTCTTCCTTTAATGAAAGGGAGTTTCTTAATGCTCTAGTCTCACATTATGTCTGTGTCGTGAGCTGAAGGGCTCTTCAGAAGGATGTGGCGAAAGGGGCGGATGAATGCTGTCTTCGGTTTTCTTCTTTTTTGTACCGCTGCGTTTCTGCTGCATTGACTCTGAGGCCTTGGAGAAGGATGAAGATTCGTCTTAAAAGCCTGAAGGAGCATTTGGAGAGGGGGAGAGGATGGAAAGATGTGTGGAGAGGGACTGAAAGAGACAGTGAGAGAGACGGACAAGTGTTTTGAGAGGCGAGGAGCCGAGATAAGAGACCTAATGGCTCTTAGCTGCCTAAGATGAAGAGTCTTGAACAGAAGAGCGCTCTTCACATGCCTTTAAGGCCCTTGCGTACCTGTTTGCTTTTATCATTAGAGCTGTTGGCAAAGTTTTATTGAACGTGTGAATTTGTTCACCAACACCAAGACCCGCGTTGTGGCTGTGCTTCAAGTTGTGAAATACTTTTTTTGAGATTCCAGACTTGAGAGGGTCAGTGTGGAGTATTTCTTTAAGCCAAGAGAAATCCAAAATGTTACTAGTTTTCAGTGTTTCCATGCCTGGTGTATACTTGTTATAGGGACATGACCTTTGACAGGGGTTAACAACTGAATTAACTCCATCAAGACCTTTTTTTTCTTCTTTGGTTTGAGGGAGAGAAAAAAAACTTAAGAAACATTACATATTTACTGTTTTTATTCATAAATTTGATATACATGGAGATAAGTAAAATCTACCAAATGTTCCAGAGGTAAATATCTTTGTTAGGTTGGAATTTTCAGTATATTTTAGTACATAGAGTGGTGGCCAAAATTCTTAGAACACTAGTATTTTCAGCAGTTTTTGCAATTCATTGTAATAATGCAGTGAGATTTTTGTTTGCACAAGGAGTTTGACAACAGCCAGTGCTGCACACAGAGATCTGATCTCATCATCATCCAGTCTGTCTGGAATGACATGAAGAAACAGAACAAACTGAGACAGACTAAATCCAGAAGAACTGTGGCAACGTCTCCAAGATGCTTCAAGAAACCTACCTGCAAAGCTACAGTACTGTTAAAAGTTTTAGGCACTTGTGTAAAAATGCTGTCAAAAATAATGTCATGAATAGATTTTCTTTATCAGTTAACTTCTATTAAATAAATTAAATCAACATTTGGTGAGAACATCCTTTGCTTTTAAAGCAGTTTTTGCCCTAGGTGCACTTGCGCATTGTTTTCCAGGTAGCTTTGCACGTAGGTCACTTGAAGCATCTTGGAGACGTTGCCACAGTTCTTCTGGATTTAGTCTGTCTCAGTTTGTTCTGTTTCTTCATGTCATTCCAGACAGACTGGATGATGATGAGATCAGACCTCTGTGTGGAGCACTGGCTGTTGTCAGATTCCTTGTGCAAACAAAAATAAAAAATTAATGTTTGGAAATGTAGACTGATATTTTCTACTGACACACTACAGCAAAAGATAGAAATAACTGACGTAAAACATTTTTTAGCTGGTGAAAATTCTAGTGTTCTAATAATTTAATAATAAAAAATATTTTAGTTTTATTATAATAAAACAAAGTTTTTCATGCTCATGTGTTTGGAAAAGCTAGCAAATCAAACAATGACCTGGTGTGACATAATTTCAAACAAAATCAGTCCAAAATAAAGTTTTGAACTATCATTTACGGTGGCCCAGTTGTGCATAACACAACGGAAACAAGCCACAGCACAGCGAAATTAGCACAACACAATGAAAACAAGCCCTAACACAATAAAATTAGAACAACACAACTAAATTAGTCCTATGCATTGTGTTCTGGCGATTTCGTTGTGTTGTGGAGATTTCGTTATGTTGTGCACTACTGGGCCACCATAATCATTGGTCAATGGCGGTTAAGTAATAGGTA